TACCTCTTTCATAATTGGAGATCTGATTACTGATTTACTGTGCAAAGGATAGCTTTATTCAGTGAATTCTAAACCAAATCACAGCCAGAAAAACTGAAACAATCATTCCAAGTGGAAATAAATTTTCAAGTTTATATTAATGGGAATTGTTGACATTTTAAATCTTACTGACAATATTAAACATGGACTTATAACATATAACCACTGAATTTATATGATCAGTGTCAACCTATGACTTTGTGTTTTAATCTGTTTTTCTGAAGAATGAATTAAACTAGCTTACCATATTCACATATACACTGTCTTACAGAATTGTTTTATCTCTATAGTGTTGAAATAAATGTTTCTCTTTTGCTGAAATGGCATTATGTTTCTATCTACTTTCTGTGTGGGTTGGTGTGCCGGCTCATTGCTTTAGAAATTGAGTTAGATGGGGTGTTCCATCAAATTACAAAATGGAATAAACTTCCTGTTGTATTTTCTGTAGGAAATATTGCTGCACTGTAGTTGCAAAATAGATGTAAAATAATACAACCAGCTTGCTGAGAGAAGCTCCATGGAATGCAGCATTGTGCTGTCAAGAATGATGTTAAGATAACGCTGACTTCATAGCATCTAGCCTTCTCTCAGTAAAGCACAGAGTCTAACGATCTTGATCTACTGTCTAGTTAACAGTGCAGATCTTGGATTGGATTGGCTTGCTTGGAGCTACAGAGGAGTTCCTTTTAGAGTGAGTCTAGATCCCTTCACAGATTGTTGAGGCAAATATTTGGTGCTCAATTGCAATAATCCCCAGCAGGATCAGACACACCAGCTGCAGTCTCTTGATCAATGCCACTGCCACCGTCATCTATTTTAAGAAATTGTTATATTTTCGTTAAGTGTCGTTGAGAAAGGGGAAAAAAGAGAAGACAAAAAAAAAGGTAAAAAAGAAAAAGAAAGCCAAAGTGAATTAATAGGGCTTTTACGAGCATAATAGAATTAGGTAAGAATGTTCAATATTTCATTAATTCGTTTTAAATAACATACCATTTTAAAAACTACACATCATTGTTAAAATCCAAGTAATGTATAAATATCAGCAGCAATAATCATCATAATATAAATCTAAAATGAGGGTGGGAATTACACATTTCTCTCCAAGCAATTGAAGATCTATCCTCATTTATCATTGGAGGGTAGAATATTTATGTTAAGAGAAACACAAATTTTTGGATGTGGTAGAAGTACATATATAAATTAAAATCCAAAAAAGTTTGCAAATTGTGCTAAATTCTGTGTCAGATTTGCTTTTCAAATACAAAGTTATTTTGGATATGAAGATATATTCCCACAGCTTAATAAGCCATTCTTCTAAGGAACTGTAGGTACTTTCCAATACAAACTGTAAAGTGTCCATGCAGCAGTTGGGCACAATTTGTGGGCGTGTAAGATTTAGTAATAGTTAATAAAAATAGGCTGAAAATTCAGCTTTCAGAATTTGTTTCCTTCTATTATAAATCATTTTCCAAAATTGCTGAGCTTTACAACATTGCCACTAAATATGGAAAAATGATCCAAACTGTTCCATTTCCAGCAATTTTTAGAAATGAACTGTCCATTTTAGCAATCAATACTGGAGTGATGCTCCAGCAGTAGAAGTTCTTATATCAGTTTTTTCTAAATACAGTATTTAGTATAAGTATAATGTTTTTTCTTTCTTGAAACTCTAATTGTTGCAATGGGTATCATATTTACTAGATGTAATGATATATGGGAATGACCTTGGGAGACAGGGGAAAGAGCCACAGCCTGGGGAATAGTTGGACAAGCAGCAGCGTAGCCCACAAAAGGAATGTAGGCGTGACAAGTGTCTCAGAAGGGACCCTCCCTAGTTTCTCGGCCTGTAAAGGTGACGGGAGAAATGTACTTTCAGATTTGCAAGATTCTGTTAATGTAACCTTACAATAAAGTAAAATTAGTCCATCTGATCATGCTTCCTGTCTGGACTACCTAACTAGGCTGATGCTAGCTTTTTGGTTTTGAGGTTGGAATAATATTCATGAATAATATGGACCACAGGTAGCAGTAGTAGTGAGAAGAATTGGGACAGTTTTTGGTCTCATCTCGTCAGGTTTTTGGATATCCAAATAATATCACAACTAAGGTATCATGAACCTAAAGTGAAATGTTGATGACTACTGGAACATTTGGTCTGGTTGTAAGCAATTTGGTATTTGACCCAATGCACAGGTGCTTGGCTTCCATATGGAGATTCAGTTTACTTTGGCCAGATCTAATAGCCAGCTCTGTCAAGCAGCCACAGATTAACTCAGGCGTATTAGGTGATAATCTCAAATGGTGCAGTATTATTTATTTGAATAGTAGCTAGACTGGCTATGTGGATCTTTGGATTCTCAACAATTTATTTCATCAGGAGACCTGAAACAATATTTGTTGTGCATCTGATGGAGATACGTTCTACCTTAAGACATATCTGCGATTGGCATTACATGCATCAAGAAATAGGGGCATTGGAGGGATTGCCACAATCTGGGTTTCCCAGCTGCAGGCTTTATGAAGATAAACTTGATTTAGGAATTCTGGTCAAAGAAGGAAGAGCTGCAGCTATCATATTATATGCTGGGTGGAAATTAAACGTCACTTTTTCATCCTGGAAACTGAATTGGGTTTTCCATCAGAACCGAGAGAATAACATATGCATTGTCCTTCTGTTGCATGTGGAATGACAAAGCATATGAACCTAATAGTCATGGGATAAAGACTGTGCCCTTTGGGAAAAAAAAATTCTTATGGATAACTATTTGAGTAGATATTTTTCTGTGCAATTCTATGGGATTTTCTACGTATACAAACATATTTTGTGGTTGGATCTGTTGATTGTTCATGGATCCATTTTGCTTCCAAAGTAAGTGGGCTAGGATAATGTGAATATTACTATAAGAGAGAATAATTTGCATGCACATATGCACACATTCACACACAAATACACCCAAAATTCACATGGACACTGGCAAAAAGTTTTCTTCATTAGAGAGCTAAGAACTCTCTATGAAAGTTTCAACTTTTAATAGAAGTGTTTGTCTGTTGGAATTTGTAGCTATGATCAAATAACAATCATTAATTGTTAAGGGGAGGATTTTGAAGACAGCATCTCTAATACTTAAAAGGAATGTTAATTCCCTGGAAGATCTCAGTCTCAGTAAGTTTAATTTAGAGACACATTATCCGTTGAGATTAAGCGTTGTGAAAGTGCTTCAGTGCAATGCAGTAGAAGCAGAAAAAAGAAACCACTCCCTAAAATGTATAGAGTCTGTAGTTGTTTCAACTAAATTGCTGTTTTTGGGGATGATGGAAGAAGACTGCATAATCCCACAGCTTGTGCAATGTCAAAAATTTACAAAGCTAAAAGAATGGAAGAAAGATGCTTCTATTCTGAAAGGTCTTGCAGGAAGATTTAGATGGTTTGTTTAGTTGCTTTCTCAGGAGCAGCAGTATATCTATAGTACTAAAACAAATGTTGCTGAACTCTCCAAATATTGCTGAACCACAAATGCCAATATTTCCCAACACTGGGCATGTTGACTGGAGCTGCTGGATGTTCAGTAACATCTGGAAGGCTATATGTTCCTCACCTCCACTTTTTCCCTTCCCCCTCAGGACCATTTTCACCCAACTGCCCCGTGAGAAAGATCCTGGCACTAGATACTTGGTTCCTTTGCAGTTGTGTTACTTTACTGACCTACATGCAGATGACAGTGCAGGCAATGCAGTGTTGCATCGTAACTTCAGTGGATATCCTGAATATCTGATGTGTTTCTGGCATTCAAAAAGTATTGTGTCCATCTCTGTGCAGCAGGGATTGATTTTGGTAGCAAAATACCTTGTACAAGCCAGAAGTCTCAAATTATATGACTATAATAATCTATATTCTATGTCAGAAAAGGAGGGGATTGATAAATTCAAAACACTGCTTCATGCTGATTTGCCAGAACTATTAAGGATACGGTGATAGGATTCTGCTCTGTAAAACTTCATTTTCTGTATTCAGGGCAAATTATATAGAATAGGTATATGTGCGCAAAGTTTCATACTTAAAATTGGTTGCTCAGATTACTTGGATACTAGTATATTTTCTTCTGTGTGTGAGAGAGAGACACAGAGACAGAAAAAGAATGAGTAAAACTATATGAGTGTGTGCTTGTAAACGTTTGGAACAATAACTGTATTGCTAATTCTTGGGATACGCTGGAGTTTATTTGCTGTAAATATGGTCCTTTTAGCAATTTTCAAGTATTCAGCAGAAGTATTCATTGATTTCAAGCTTTCCTTTGCAGCTCTAACCTATTAAAGAAAAACAAAAAGGAGGTAATCATCATAATTCTAGAACAGCATCATAATTCTGTATTTATAGCTAAATCATCAGCTTCCCATACCCTATAAGGATAATCTATATGGAGCAAAGAATGAATTAAAGTGGTATTTGTTAAAGCAAGTGAAAAATGCAAGAAAGGACCAGTTCCAATTAGTTCTCATCCAGTGGCACTCACTGTATAATTTTTTTGGGGGGGGGAGGGAGCTTACTTTTTTAATAAAATTAGAATAAGGAATTAGAGGTCCTTATTGCCTGGCTTCACTCAAAATATGTATGTCTTTGGGATGACATTTTACACTTAATTTAGATTATAAAGATTAGTAAATAGATTACACTTTGTCAATTCTTTAACAAAGAAATAGAGTTGTGCTAAAAACATCAAGGAACCTATCACACTGTTCTTATGACCCAGGTCCACCTGGCCACTTGTAATCTGACACATTATCTTAGGGGGGAGCCTGAAATACATTAATCTCCCAGTACCACACAAAGCTGAAATAGGCCATCATGGATCAGCCAAGGTCCTGTAACAGGACTTAGGAAGCTTGGACATGAGAGTTGTTATGTCCTGAAACATCTGATTATTTTATTTGTTTTTAACAATGACTTGTTCTTTTATAAATTTCAGCTGTGTTGGTGTAGAAGAAGATGAGGCACCAGATATTGATATCTACCACTGTCCAAATTGTGAGAAAACCCATGGGAAATCTACTTGTAAGTATACTCCTTTGTCAGGTCATTCTCCTGTTCAAAAAATCGACTTTACGGTTTCTATTTTTCTAGAACCTATCCTGAATATATAAATTCCACTAGAATCCATGGTATTACCTACAAATGTTTTTAAAAAAGAGAAACTAATTAGGCAGTGTAATATTTCAGTGCAAATGTGATATGAGTTGGTTCATATGAATTTGAATGTGAAAGAAACCAAAGGTTGAAATTACACACACACACACACACACATATTCAGATTGAATAATGTATCTGTCTATCTTAACTGGGAACCACCACTATCAGCTCACTAGGAATTACTTACAAATAAATATGCACAGGATTGGATGGCTCGTAAGAGAACTTAACATGACTCAACATGGTTAAGATTATATTAATAATAAGTTTGTGGTTGACACAATGTAGCAAGCTGTTTTGGGTAAACAGTAAGAATACACTTTAAGGTGTCAGCATTTACATCTTCTTTAAAATGGGATTGAAATTGTAAATCTTCACTTCAGAAAGTGAACATCCGAAAGGGCTCATGTCAAGGGAATAATTTTAAAATTGAAGTAATGTGGCAGAAAATCTCCCTTATCAATAATGACCTCCTTATAAGAAATAAAATGTTAATTTTCTTTTTGGCTCCTTGGATGGTTTTTTTCCCTAAAAACACAGCAATGCATGTGATTTTTTTTAAAAAAATGTATGACTGAAAAATAAACTGAAGTGATTGAATGAATGAATGTGAATGACCAGCTGAAAGATAAGTACGTTAGCAGGAATGAAAAATAGGTAAGATACTATTGTATAAAATACTTTTCTTGGATTATTTTAATACACAATTTAAGATTTCATCTGTGAAAACCCTAATGATACCTTGATTAGAGAGGGGATAATTTTGGATGCCCCCTTTTCTATTTCTTCCCTGTCAAAAATGTATGTGGTTTGCTGGTAGAATTCCACTAGCTGCATCTCAGATATGTTTTACTATTATCAATTGCAGTATATTTTCAGAATTATAAAATCCCACCTATCTTGTTCATTTTGAAAAACATCCTGTGTACTTTTGATGTTCAAATCAAAAGCCATCAACTTCTTTGAAAGGATGACCAACTATACTATTTCAGTGTTTATGACAAGTATATTGGATTGGGACAGTCTATAAACTTAATGCATACATACATAAGTGAGTGTTCCAGCATTTGAATATATGACTCACTACAGATGGCTTCTTTGTGTAAACTGTTTTATACAAATTCATCATTTAGAAAATCTAAATATGATACACAGCTATTTAAAACTATTCAACCATTAATTCTTTGGCATCTCAGAGGGGAATCTTTGTGGTACTAAGAAGCACTATATTTTGTAATATGCTTAAAAATATAATTAGAACTGTGCAATAATTATAACTTTGTTATGACTCTGAACCATCTTCCTCATGGTAGCAAAAGCAATTGAATCTCTGTAAATTGAAGCCATATATGCAGTTCAAGCACTAAATGACTCCTGGCTAGATATAGGGTTCTACAACCTTGGCATTTCCTGAATTGACACATCTGGAATTATTTTGACTATGTAGTTTCAAGAAGACTGGAGGCCATTGGATGGCATGATCTGCACAGTATTGTACCTGAACTTGGCTATAACATGGTTTTGATGAGATTGAAAAAACATTGAACAACGTGGCAGGTTTGCAGATGCATCTCATGTCAGTAAAAATTAGTTTTCTAGGTTATAAATTAAAGTTGAAAGCAATGTTACCATGATACGATCTTGCACAACCCCATTTCCATTTTACTTGATCAGGAAACATTTGGGAGAAATGTTCCTACTGTAAAACACAACAACTTTAAGTAATGTTTGTAACAGTCATATTGCTAAATCCAAACCATAGTTTGAACTTGCTCTGAGAATCTACATTTCATGGGACAGATCCACAGATCCTCTAACTTTGGCTCAAAAATGTCCTAATCATTCTTTAAAGGCCACAGCCTTCCTCTCATCCCCAGTCCATAGCCAGTCCAGCTAAAGTTTTTTCTGAACCAGTGCTTTCGGTCTTCTCCTAACAAAGTATGCTATACAAATGTTTTGTGTCACTTTGTAAGCAGCTGCAGCAATGACTTACTGATTCTTTTCAGCTGCCGGTCATGCCCCTTTCTCTGCAGTCATGCTGATTCTCTTCATGGGCTGTTGGGTTAGTGCTGCTGGACTGTCATGATGTTGGAAGAGGAGCATCATTATCATCATGAATATTGCTACAGATAGTAGGAGATCAGGACCTGTCTAAAGTGACTTGCCTATCAGAGAGATCCTGGTCTACTGCTTTTTCTGATGATCTTGGGCTACTTTAGCAATAGTTAATAGATCAAGCCCTCTCTGTTGGCTAAAGCTACTCCAAGATCACTAGATAGTGCTGTAGACCAGGATTTCTCTAAAGTGGCCTGCCTGGCAGCCAAGACTTTCCCCCCTACCTTTGTTTGACAGGCAGTTTGCACTAAGATTGCTACAGCAGCGCTTATATTTAAAAAGTTCTGACAAATGGCTACACCTCCTGTAATGGCATATTTAGAATCAAAAAGAGATTTACATTCTAACCCACTGGGCTTTTCTTCATTAGCAATTTTAAGAGAACAGCCTCTTCTCCAGCTCACACAGGAGCTGAGTAAAAGATGAGAATCCCTACTTTAGGAATCTTGAACATAAACTGAATTCTAAAGAGGGAGGACAGTCTCATTGCTGAGAATTCTGTAATCCTATCCTATCCTATCCTATCCTATCCTATCCTATCCTA